TTGATCCCTTTTTATTTATTTTTTGATCCTTGTTTATTTTTTTATTGATCCCTATCCCACACAGCATGATGTTGCTCATGATGATTCCGGCGTGCTTGTCTGTCTTTCAGCTACCTGCGCAAAGTGCCAGAACTAGCCTCTCTGGGCTTCCCCGCAGAGTCACCCACATCGATTTGGATTTGCAGGGGCCACGCAAAGGAGGAGAAGGCACGTTCCACAACCTGTACAGGATCAGGGTGGATCGGGAATATGTCCGGCAAAAATCTGGTCGATGCCTCATTGTCGATCTGAAAGCTGAAGTCCGCAAGCCTTGGTGCGGCAACGGATTTGGAACTTTCGCCGAAGTCCCCATGTTTTGTGAGACCAGCAACAGGCGTGCGTCCAAGTCACATGTTGATCTGAGTGTGTATGTGCCGCGTGGTCTGCATCAGTGGCCTTGAAGGTAACTGTGCTTGCAATTCTGTGCTGAAATTCCGGCGGCAGTCGAATAAGATGCTGACTTGGTTTTGAGCTGCGGAAGGTCGCTCATGAACTGCTTCAGCTTTGCCAACTCCTGACACATCACATCGTAATACCTGCTCTACATTCCTGGAATTTTCTTGCACAGGATGTACAGGCACTGATTTGCCGACAAGTCTCCTCCTCATCTTCCGGGTTCGACAGGATGTGCTCGTGGGTCTCGTGCCTACGGTGGCCACGCTCATCTGCGAATATCCAGACATTATTGACACTCAGTCACCCACCACTCCGTGAGCACTGCCTGCGAACGCTCCTGGCAGACCGTTGCACACTGCCGAAGGCCGAAGCCCGCTCGTCTCATCCACTCGCATCACGGCGCACCTGGATGCTCTGTGCCACAGTCTGGAGGCAACAGCCTGCGAGGTGGTAGGCCCTCTGCGACATCTGCTGGATGATGTCCTGCAGACTCAAGACCCGAAAAGTATTCGGAGTGGAAAAACACTGAACCTAAAACTGTAAGGCGAACCCGAAAAGGAGCAGGGAGCTGATGGTGTCAACCTCAGAGCGAGAAACCCGAAAACAAGGAGAAACTCACATCAACATAACGAGAATAGACGACAAGGCGCAACCGGTAGCAGGAACGGGCGATTCTTAAACGGAGTCCCTTCTTAAACCCGGAAAGGGTTGAGGAGCGGTCAAGCTGCCCTTCCAGACGAGAGACACTCAAGAGTTAAAGGCTGCAACTACATTACACTAAATTATACTATACTATGATAGGTTGTATTATACTCTATTCTACAGTATTCTATTTTAGTAATAGCCTTATTTTAAATTGAGGTGAGTCGTACTATGTTATGTTATACTATGCTCTGTCATATTGTATTATGTTGAAACATCTCTTGTAATAGCATATTATAGTTCTGTTTCTATTGGCCTTACTATACTATATCAAACAGTATATTTATTATACTATGCCATACCATATCATATTGTATTTTGCGAAAGTTCTACTATATGGAGTTATAATGTTAACCCGAAGGCACCCTCAAAGTGGCAAGCACATGTACAGTCAGCAACGGAGAGCTACCAAAGCCTAAACCCGAGAAGGAACCGCGAAACGGATCTGCAAAGCGAAGACCCTCCAAGTTTGCCCTGCACACTGGAAGAATTCACTGGACCTATCTTGAAAAAAACGGAATGGACAATGCCAACAGTCAAACACGTTTGACAGTGGCGAACCGCGAACCTTCAAATCAAAAAATCCAACAGAAGCAGTGGCAAGCTGCTAACCCTGAAAAGGTTGCAGAGAGGCGCTATGCGAAGCTCAAAAGGAATACCAGAATGGAAGAGAAGATGGTAAAACCTTCCGAACACAATACTCGAGAGTGGCGTTGAAATCTTCGCAACAGATGCAAGAGGTGCATAGCCACGAAATCCCTAACCCGTAGAGGGAGTGGGGAAAGGCAAACGTTTGGCCGTCCTAACCTAAAATCCAAATATCTGAAGAACGAGGAGCGGTGAGTGGGCCGTCGCAAAACTTGAATTCCAATCGGGGGCTTCTTTAGGGTTTAGGGTTTAGGGTTAGTCTCAACTGTTCTCGATCCTTCCACTACCCCCTGAACCTGGAATCCAACGATGCTGTATGGCCTTAAACCCTGACCCCCAAACCCCAGGCCGAAAGGCCTCCAAACTATGGAATTCCTTTACTGACTGACACACTGGAAAGCCCTGAAGCGGTCCATGCAGTGCAGCTCGAACAAAGGGAACCTTGCAGAGCCATCGATAGGGAAGGGGTCATGAAAAGGAGCACAGCTGCTTTGAGCTAGGTTTGTTCCTGGCGAAGCGAAACTCATCCACTAGATTTGCATAGTTGGATTCGGATGGCAGCTTAGAAGGCAAAATGTCACACGAAGGGTCAACACACCACATGTCACTAAGATCTGGACTTCACCACCTCGGTCATGAGCTTCTCAATCTGTGTGCCTGCCTCGCAGCGTCATACAGCTCGCCTACCAAGGTAGACTTCAAGCAGTCCTACCAACTTCAGATCCAGCATCCTGCCTGCAGGTACGCATCTGTCTTTTCCTGATCACGAAGCCCGTACCGCCAGTTGCTTCGGGTGTAGCTAGCCAGTGGCCTGGCTTACATTCAAAAGATTCCCCCCTCCGAGGCAGCGACTCGCACAGCCTCCACATCGAGTGGGTCCATGTCACCCGCAACCTGACCACAAAGCCCATGTTACACTGAGTATCCGTCGACAAAGATGGGAAAGCCTCTTCCTTGAAGAGGTATGCATACTCCTGGTAGCTCGCCTTCGGTTCATGACACCAACCGCAAAGGCAAGTGAAGCAGCGGAGCTCATCGCCGGCACCTGAACCTGTCGAGGTCCATGAAGGCACTCTTCGATGACCTCTGCCGTTGCAGCCTTGTCCATAGTACATCGCAAGATTTAACTGTGTCGAACGCTTTGGTCTTGTATCTGCAAAGATGAGCCGAACTGCAACGCGAGAGGCTCGCACCGCTTGCCTAAGCGCCCAACCTTTGCCGCTCTCAACAGTTGGACCTCGTCCGCGGGACTCCTCAGCGCAGCACTTTTTTCTACGATCGGTCGCGAGGACGTCTTCTGTCCTGCCCTGCCCTCGAGGGCCCGGCGCAGCGGACGCCTCTGCCTGGAGACTTCCAGAAGGAAGACAAGACAGCTCAGGCTGAGACCGCTCGCAGGGGCACGCATGTGCGCCGCGCAGATTTGCCAGCGAAGCCCCAGCATGTGACCCCACCTCGGCTTTGCGCTCCTCCTTGTTCGGCTGGAGCCTCGAGGGAACAGCGATCGGGGCAGAGCCGGCTCCAGTCTGTTTCCCCAAGCCAGCGGCTCGAACATGAGGTGCTGGGGCAGATTGCAGAAGGGCACGAGCTGGCACAGGTGCAAATGGGCCCGGCGCTTTGGAGCTCTTCGGCTGAATCTGCCTCGTACTCGATGCTCATGATGGAAGATGTCACCTCGTGGTGTTGACGATAGCGCGATTTTAGCGAGCTCAGCTGGCAGAATTCATGGAGCTCTTGCAAATGCAGCAGCCTTCGTGACATCATCGATCAACTCAAGAATCTTCATTTTGAGGTCGTCCGGATGAGGTGCTATCTGCACCTGCTGCGGACACTGTTTGTAGCGGTGACGACTGGGTCGGTGGTCGTAAATACCCGTCGGACAGCTGCAACAAATCTGCCTCACCATGGACAGCCTCAAGGCTCAACGTTAGCAGGGGGGTCCTGAGGCGTAGAAAAAAGCTGCGATCAAAGCTCTCAACCCGAAACGCAGCATCGGAGCAGTCGCGCTGAGCGTCCCGGCGGGAGAGGCTCGTTGACCTTCGGTGTGAAGGAGCGGACAAACTCCACCTCAGCATCCCAAACTCCAATCCACTTGCTCTGGACTCTAGGACTGCTCAAGTCTTCTCAGTTGTTGGCCCAGTCCGTCAAGGACATTTGGACAAACCACCGCATCTGTGCGGACAGGATCAAGTCAAACCTAGGCAAGGAAGGGCTCAGGTAGTCTCTTTGAAAGCTGCAACACCTAGACAATTTAGGAGTTCTTGTCAAGTGAAGCGGTCCTTATCTAGAGGATCCCACTCTCTTATTGGGACCCCTTCCTTTCCAAACCCATCATGTCAACAAACAAACATTTATATTGACGCTGCTTTTTCTGAGGGAACAGCTACGGAACTGCACGAACCTGTGCAAGTCCCATGCCAAAAACGATTCTGCGCCCCAAATCTGTTTCAGCCAGATTAACGAACCAGTGGTCTAGATCAACAACAGCAGCTGCCACGATCTTGACGATAGGGAACGGCGCCCAAAAAAAACGAATTGAATGCTTTTGGTCCCCACGTCCTTTGCAACACGAGATGAACAACTGTCAAGAACGGGAAAAGGACCGTGCATCTCACTTTGGGCAGCTTTCATCTAAGCCCCTGCAACCAGGGCATCCAGCGACTTCTATGGTGCTGCCAGGCAAATGCCGAGAACCACTTCCATCAACGGC